CGAATGGAAGAACTTCTTCTCTGCGATCAAAGCTGTCTACGGTCCGCCGACGAAGGGCACTACTCCCCTCCTCAGCGCCGATGGCCGTATCCTTCTTACTGAGAAAACACAAATTCTACAGCGATGGGCCGAGCATTTCCGAGGCGTCCCCAACCGCCCCTCCTTCATCTCCGATGCCGCCATCGCCCGTCTGCCGCAAGTGGAGACCAACGTGGACCTCGACCTCCCGCCATCTCTCCAGGAGACCATCAGGGCCGTGCAGCAACTCTCCAGCGGGAAAGCACCCCGATCTGACGCTGTCCCTGCTGAGGTCTACAAGCACGGAGGTCCCCAACTCATGGATCACCTGACTGCGCTCTTCCAGGAGATGTGGCGTCAAGGCGAAGTCCCGCAAGATTTCAAAGACCCAACCATCGTGCATCTCTACAAGCAAAAAGGGAATCGCCAAGTCTGCGACAATCACCGTGGCATCTCGTTGCTTAACATCGCCGGGAAGATCGTCGCTCGCATCCTTCTCAACCGCCTCAATAACCACCTGCAACAGGGCTTTCTGCCGAAAAGCCAGTGCGGCTTCCGTCGTCATCGTGGGACCACGGATATGATCTTCGCCGCCCGCCAACTACAGGAGAAGTGCCCGGAGATGCGGACCCACCTGTACTCTACCTTCGTTGACCTGACGAAAGTCTTCGACAAGGTGAATCGTGAAGGACTGTGGAAGATCATGCAGAATTTCGGCTGTCCGGAGCGATTCACTCAGATGGTGCGTCAGCTGCACGACGGTATGATGGCGCGAGTCACGGACAACGGAGCTGTCTCAGAGGCATTCGCAGTGACCAACGGAGTGAAGCAGGGATGCGTGCTGGCGCCTACCCTCTTCAGCCTTATGTTCTCTGCCATGCTGATGGACGCCTACCACGACGAACGCCCCGGGATCCGCATCGCCTACAGGACGGACGGTCACCTGCTGAATCAACGGTAGATGCACTTCCAGTCGCGCGTATCCACAACCACCGTTCACGAACTCCTCTTCGCCGACGACTGCGCCCTGAACACCACCTCGGAAGAGGAGATGCAACGGAGCATGGATCTGTTCTCCGCCGCCTGCGAGAACTTTGGTCTGGTTATTAACACGCAGAAGACGGTATGATGCACCAACTGCCACCCAACTCAGTCACAGTCCCCAACGCGCCGCCTCAAATCAGCGTGAACGGAACCCAACTGCAAGTGGTGGAGAACTTCCCGTACGTGGGTAGTATTCTCTCCCGCAACACCAAGATCGATGACGAAGTCGCTCGCAGGATCTCGAAAGCCAGTCAGGTAACAATCGGGAGATGGCATCCAAAAAATCCGCCTAACCAAAGTAGTCTGTCTTACGGGACAGATGGTAATAGGGGTTTTATGGGTGGTGGCTGGTCGGAATGTACGATACTAGTCGACGGAAAGCCTTATTTGAACAGGTGAATGATCGAAGTTGGCCCGATCTCCGTTCCGTTATTACAAAGTGGGTGGCCAAAGGCAGTATAGTGTTAACGGACGAGTGGAGGCGTATAATCAACTTCCCTCAGAAGGTTATCTACATTTCTCTGTTAACCACTCAAAGAACTTCAAGGACTCTACCACCGGACTACACACCAATGCCATCGAGGCATACTGGAGTAGACTGAAAAGGAAAGTCCAGGAGGGAGGCCCTGTATGTGGTCGAGCTCTGTGGGCACACGTAGACGAAGTACAGTATCGTCTTTGGTTTGGCCTCAATACCATGTCTTTGACAGATGCCTGGGAACTGTTCCTGCCCCATGTTATGCAGACTTATCCTATTTAAAAGTGACTTTGTTTTGTAATAAACTGCCATAATGCGAACGTATGCCGTATATTCAGGTGTACATGTGCAACGATGGGGAAGGTTGGGTAACAGCGACTGCCATCCATGTAACCTCCTGCAATGTTCGTTCGGCCAGCCCATGATAGGCCGTCGGGGAAAGTCCAAGTAGTGCGGGAAAGTAGGTCTGTAACCGCTGATATAGCCTGAAGGCCTTTGAGTCCGCTGTTAAAGGTATTATTTCTAGGTAACGGATTTTTTTGGGTGCCATCTCCCGATTGTTACCGCCAGTCAAGCCTTCGGTCGCCTCCAAAGCACAGTTTGGAATCGCCACGGTCTTCAACTGAACACGAAGCTGAAGATGTACAAGGCCGTCATCCTGCCGACGCTACTGTACGGAGCAGAGACATGGACGGTGTACACGAGACAGGCACGCCGACTGAACCACTTCCATCTCAGTAGTCTTCGTCGCATCCTAAGGTTGAACTGGCAGGATGGCATCCCCGAGACTGATGTGCTGGAACGAACGGGAATGCTCAGCATCTACTCCATGTTGAGACAAATGCAGCTGCGCTGCAGCGGCCACCTGGTGCGCATGGATGACGAGCGACTACCCAAACGACTCTTCTACGGAGACGTCGCGGCGGGTTCTCGCCGTCAAGGAGGCCAAATTCGCCGTTACAAGGATACCCTGAAGTCCTCCCTGAAGCGACTGCAAATCAACCCGACCAACTGGGAAGAGCTCGCCTGCGATCGTCCGACATGGAGGAGAACAGTGAGGACGGGCGCTGCTATCTATGAAGACGACCGCATCGCTGCCGCCAAAGTGAAACGCGAAGCCCGAAAATCACAACTTCGCCCAGTACGCAACGCCGCTGCACAACCGCTTCCAACGTGTCCTCGATGTCAACGGATATTGCGGACTCGAATCGGACTTGTTGGACATCTTCGGATCAACTGCGCCTCTCGAACTGCACCAATCATCGTCCCCCCGCCCGCCTCTTCCTCGTCCTCTCTGCCGCCAACTAACTCTGACAATTCTTCTGTACCACCACTTCCATCCTCCTCCTCCTCCTCCTCCTACTCCACTGCCTCAGTGACGGCTGCTCACTCGTCTGTCGCACAATACAACATCGCACACATCCCTGACACAACACCAGACATCACCCCTGCAGCCTCCGACTCCAGACGTGAGGACCGGGACTACACCTGTCCTCACTGCGATCGCACCTACACTTCACGCATCGGCCTGGTCGGTCACTTGCGAATCCATCGCACAGAGACTGGCGAACCAGTGCCTGGAGCACCAACCTATACCCACCAAGCTCGTCTCAACTGCCCACACTGCCCTCGCACTTTCAGGCATCGCATGGGCCTATTCGGCCCCATGCGCATTCACGACGACCTGCGGTAGACAACCGCCGGTTACACCACACATCCACACACCCCCTACCCTCCTCCACCATCACCACCACGCATCAACACTCACCCACCACATGCACCAACTGCCACCTTCCACGCAAGTGGGAAGTGGGCATCTCGACTCGGTCACCATGCGGCTTCGGCTGGACGGGTAACTTGAGTTCGAGACTATCCCGACACGTCAAGCGTCGTGGATAGGAAGGTTGCTGATTGACGCCCGCTCTCGGTCCACGCAGTTCGTTGCGTTGTGTGTCTGTTGTGTGGAGTGGCGGACTGGTGGGCTGGGGACGGGCTGAAGCAACACCTTCCACAGCCCTCTCACGCAAGTGAGAGACACGTCGTTCAATCCCCGTTGTGTGAAATCCTGGTGTTTTGTGTGTATGGGGGGGGGCAGGTCGTGCTTTGGCGCGCGCAGGCATGGTCAGTCGACCGTGCTAGCCACCGCGCCCATCTCCCACTCCAGTCTGCTGACCGGCTCGGACGGCGGCTGGAGTGTGGGAATGGGAAGGGAGAGTGAGGTCGACGACTCAGCGCATTTTCCTCACTATAATCAATCTGACGCGCTTGAAGCTATTACGGTGCGCTAAAAGCCGTGGCTTGGAAGGTTGCCAACTGACGGGGTACCTTGGACCTCCTCCTTAACGGGAGGCGGTCTGACAGTCAGGCTGCAATGGCTCCTTTTTAATGTGGCCTTTATGGCACTCCCACCACAGTGTGAGATCCGAGCCAGGCGTTGGCGGCACGCCTAGGTGCGGCCTCGGCCGTGCCAGCATCCAAATCTCTGTTGTGTTGGTTGAAATCCTGGTTATTGTTGTGTGGACCAGGGGGTGCGGAGTGGAGCGCCAAGGTGAGGATCCGTCCGAGCCATCCACCTGCGGCCTCCCTCGGTTCCGGTCTTCTTGTCTCTGTCTTGACACCGGACTCAAGCGGGGGAGGAGGAGAGAGTGTAGGTAGATGCAGCGCAAGTCTACTGGCACTATAAACCCCTGCGCAAGTCACCGTCCCTGCTCCCACCTGCTGTGGGGCACACAGTGGACATCGTCGAAATCGATAGTCGAACTGTCGTGTGTGTGTGCATGTGTGTGTGTGGCACGCGCAAAAGTCTTGCATTTTTCGCTGTCAGACACTGTTTCATATCGCTGCGTCAGACGACTGACAAGCTCAGACAATCAACCGCTGGATGGCAGAGGGAAGAGAGAGTGAGTTCGACTCTCAGCACATATCTAACACGCCATTACGCTGTGATGGTGCGCTAAAATCCGTGGCTTGTAAGTCGGTCAACTGCCGGGAGAACTGGATCATCCCCGCAGGACGGATACTCAGGCTGCAATGGCTCCTTCGTCATGTGGCCCCTATGGCATATCCATTCATTTGGCATCCGATCTGTCCAGTTCTCGTTTTGGTGAGACTGTGGTTGAGTGATTATGTCCCTCTTCCTCAGCTCTTGAATCTTGCAAGCCTCCAGTTTGCCTTGGCGGCAGCTGTCTCCTCAGCCTGGAAAATGGAGGCTTCATTGTTTGTCACGATGAGCCATGCCTACCGATAACGACCGAAGTAAGCTCAGAGTTGATCTAAAGATGCATAGATGAGTTGCCTTATCTAAGAGCAGCCATAGAGACTTCGTCGTTGAAAGGACACCTGGGTCGACGCCCGAAACCTATCTTCTCAACGTGGCCGCACCAACGCGACGCTATACGTCCCAGCTTTGCGCGGATACTTCTGGTGTCGGGCTTTTTCAGAACTTTAGCGTCGAAAGCCATGTGTTGCCGCCTGAACTTCAGCATTCTGTGAAGGCGGCTGAGAACACAACCATTGTGTTCTTGCTTGGCTATCGTACAGCGTTCCAGCACATGTTCCGTAGAGCAGTGTTGCCAAAACAACAGCTCTGTTCATCCACAGCCTTTTGTTTTGCAGGATGCTGTGAGGATTCCAGGCGAACTGCTCAGGTGGGTGGAATACCTTACTTGATTTGGAAATCTAGTGGACAATTTCACTGTCGATGTTAGCACTACTCGAAGTTTTGCCTCCCAGAAAGGTGACTATGTCCACTGGTGTAAGGTAAATTGCACTCACACTGATTCCATCTCGCTATAATCATCATAGGGGGCTGTTTGTGCATAACCATTGTCTTCTCTGTGCTGATGGGTGCTTGGGGAACCGTTTCAAAGTCTGATTGAGCACCTCATAAATCGCGACTTGTCGGATGATAGAGTTGCTCCAACTTTGCTGAGCAATGACGCAGTCCTCTTAGCTTGCGAGCTGTAGATAGTCCTGAACGACTCGAAGAAATTATTCAAGTCCCTGCGGCCGTGTATCCTTTGACTTTTTCGGATTTGCGAATTAGTCCATCATTCTGCATCTGCCACTGTCGCTGCTACACTAGGCTTCGCCGTTGGAAGCATCCCGCTTTGTCAGTGTCGGTGACGTCGTTGGCGCATGTTGTGCTTAGACTGTTCTTCTGAGTGAGTAGAATGCAAATCTTTCCGTGGTCGTCTTAAAACCAGTCCTGATGCTGACGTCGTGTGCGATTGAGGATTCCAGAGCGGTCTAGTGGATAACTTTACGCCGCCCTCCCCCACTGCTTTGCTTTCTGGCAGGTCGTGAGGATCATTTTGCTGGAGGACCACGGAGACGAAAATACTTAATTCCTCTTGGTATCACAGGCAGCCTTGCGCCGAATTTCAGGAAGGTTCCTATTCCCCTGTCCTAACTCAGGTCTGGTGAGATATACTCCAGAAACCCTCATAAGGTCCAGCCCGCTGTGTTATGCACGGTTTCGTGCAACATCATATAAGACCTGGTTATCGACCGATAGAAGGTGAAGTGGAGGCATCTGCCAGGTTCACGAATACGTTTCATGGGAACGTCACAGTATCGCTGGTAAGGGCATGCTACGACTGTGAGCTTGCTTCCTCTAAACTATATTAGATAATGTTGCCTGTGTTGTCTCTCTTTGCATGCCATTCTCAGGCACTTTACTTGCGGCAGTGTAAATTTGATAGGAAATTTTCGTAAGGCTGTCACTCAGTCGTATTGGCGAACCTGACGTGAAGGCACTGTGGCTAGATGGGTCACCGGTCACAATCACTTTAGTGATGGAGTTCACATTGCTGGTGGTGTGTGCGATAATGATGAGGGTGATGCTTGACGGGACGTCGACTGTGTACTCACCGGACTGGGAGTGGAAGAGGTGGCAATCATCGTCACCGTTTTTGAGACGGTGGGTGGTCGATGACGACGTCGGCAGCGGCGGCGACGGGGCATCAGAGGTGTGGTCACTGGCAGTAGTAATAGTAGTAGTAGTAGTAGTAGTAGTAGTAGTGGTAGTGGTAGTAGTGGTAGTAGTAGTAGTAGTGGTAGTAGTAGTAGTAGTAGTAGTAGTAGTAGTAGTAGTAGTAGTGGTAGTAGTAGTGGTGGTAGTAGTAGTAGTAGTAGTAGTAGTAGTAGTAGTAGTAGTAGTAGTAGTGGTAGTAGTAGTGGTGGTAGTAGTAGTAGTAGTAGTAGTAGTAGTAGTAGTAGTAGTAGTAGTAGTAGTAGTAGTAGATGTGGTGGTAATCTCCGTCATGGATGTCGTGGTGGGTTGTGTTGGGCCTACGACGTGGGTGATTGTGGAGGCAGCAGATGGGGTTGTTAGATTGCTGTCTCAACTGGTCCGGAGATGTCTGGCGAGGCCGATCCGAATGCGGAAGGTTCGTTGGTGGCGTAGAAATGTTGGAAGGGTTTAACTGTTGATGTTGTGGGCCGGAGGTGCTTGAGACTTTCAAGCCGCTCTTTTGGCTCTGACAGTAGCGATCCAGTTGGCTTCGTAAATTACTGCCCCAGCCTTCAGTGCTCTTCTACAGGCGAAGGCCTCCCGTACAGATTCCGTACAGGATATCCGTAGACTGTCCTTGTAGCGTTGCTCTGTCCATCCTCGTCGTTTGCCATCCGTAGCGACATCAGCGTAGAAGAGTCTCTTGAGTAGGCGTTCATCACCCATATTCGCGAAGTGGTTGCTCCAATGCAGTTGAATTCACATTTGCATGGTGTAGTTAATTTTAACTCCCATTTGTTCAAGGACTTCTTGTCTGGAATCCTGCCTTGCCACACCAGCTTCAGCAGCTTCTGAAGACCTCTGAAGTGGCACCGGTTGAGTTTCCTCACCTGTTTGTCGTAGACTGCATAGGCCTCTGCCCCAATTTGATGGCGTTATCAGGATTAGCGTCCTGTACACTTGAGTTTTTACTTGAATCCGAGTCCATAGTTGTTCCAGACGGAGACCTACAGTCTACCGGAGGTCCTGCTGGCTTTGGGGATTCGGTGAGCTATTTCGTCGTCGACTTCGGTGCTCTGAGATAGTACATTGTTGTCTAAAAATACAAATTTGTCTTCTTTCTCAGTTGAGTTCTGTTGGCAGAGATGTATGGGTCGTTGTATTCAGTTTTGGATAGAGGCTGATGCCTGAGGATCGTTTTTTTCTTGTTGGTGGTCAGCAAGATGTTTGCGCAGCCAATTGAGAAAAGTCTCATCCTCCGAATTGCCGCGGTCTTGGGCGCGCAGTCCTCGACGAAGAACCGGTCATTGGCCGCAGTCATGGAGAGACGCGCTGGGGCCTGCGTGCGCCGGCCGACAATTCCTGCGTGACAGAGAACACGAGATTGGAGATGGTAGAAAAGGCCACGCAGCCCTGCTTCAGTCTATTGGTTACTGAAAATGCCTCACGTTTTCCGTAACGCACATGAATATCTCGTAGTGCATCTGGCACACCATGTAGATAAATCGTTCAGGAGAACTGATTTTTGCTTGATTCTCCAGAGTCAATCGCGATCCATCATGTCAAAGGCCTTCATCAGGTCCACAAGGGCAGTGCCTCAGAGCGCCTTCGGAGACCCTGCTCCTGCCTCATCTAAGTCACATTAAATGGTGTCGCTTATATGAACTCTTGTGCTTGACCTTCACCGGAATCTTACTTGCGACGGTCATCCCATCGTATTAACGAACCTGAAGTGTAAGTACATCTGCCAGATGGGTCCCCGCCCACAACAGCCCGTGTACTGGACATGAGACAGTTCGACCGTCGTTTCCGACGATGTCTTTCGTATGCGCCACAATAGGAAAAGCAGGAACGGTGACTTGTGCGTGAATGAATTTGTAGCGATAGCAGACTTGCACAGCATATACCGCACGCTCTCCTCCTCCTCCTCCTCCTCCTCCTCCACTTATGCACGGTGTCAAAACACAGTCAATAAGACCGGAAGCGGGGAGGGCGAGGGTGGATGGCACGGTCGAGCTCGCACCGTGGCGCTCCACCCCGCACCCCCTGGCCCACACAGCAAATGACCAGGATTCTAGTCAAAAACAACAATGCGGAGGACTGCAGAGGTCCCATGGTGCACGACGTCTACCGTCTACTGGGTCTGAAACCGAACCCCCGAGATGTGGGCATTTGTTATGGTGCGCACCCCAATAACGTCCGCCAGGATCCGATATGGTCCCCGTATTGGTCCAGCGCATTTACCGCGTGGCCCGTTTGGGGGGGCCCACCGGACTCACACTCGAGAGTACGACCGTTGGTTTCGACGATATCCCCCCTGCGCTCTACAGTAAGGCGGGGCAGGGACAGTGACTTGCGTGCTTCAATAAATAAACAAAGTGTTCCGGTGCTCGAATCTTCTTCTTTACTTACGTTCATGTTATATTTAATGCTATAACTGCGCGATAATTTACCATACTGACCGTACAGGGTATTAGCTAAAATCGCTCCTATATTTTTGATTTAGGGTTCGAGTTAGGACTTGTGTTATGGTCACAGTTAGGACAAGGGCATATTCAGCCTCCCTTGAATTTTGCGCAAGGCCACCTTTATTACCGCGGGAGAGTTCTAAATCCCGTGCCTTACCGGCTCCCGTTCTGAAAAAGCCATTGCTACCTGACACTCAGTCGGAGTTGCGTCTTCAGCTGACAACTTTTCAGGTCTTGATTGACACATGCAATCTGTCAGACTGCGTACAGTGCTGTAAAGATGCATTCCCCATCCCCGGCTTCATTGTCTCTCTCTATCCTCTCTCGTACCCGAGTCTGTAAAAAAATTGGTATCGGATTTGGGCGTCGTGGTTAAAGTGGCTAGGAAGCCCTATTCCGTGCCCTTGTGACAGTATTGGAAAATAGTTAAGGTCACCCGGTCAAATGCTGCCGTCAACTTCTCTCAGTAATTCTGAGTGTTTTATAGAGTACTCAGCTGAATGAAAAGACAAAAACTTGCAGCAAGAGCGATCAGAAAAGTCCACAACAGGAATCGGAAGTCAGAGTTAACAGTGGATCTTTCGGAACCTTCAGTCCACATTGTGACCGGAAGTAACCCTAAGGATCCCCTTGACAGCTAGAGCTGCGTAATTACGCAAGGTCTAACCGAGTCGAAAGCTCCTACGCCGAAGGAAAAGATTTTCGCTGACGTTAGCATGTTGCAGTGTCCGCTGAGCTATATGCCTTATCCGAACGAGACTGTAACGGCTCGCACAGCCTTCAGCATGGAAAAAACGCCAGCGAACAGCCGGGAATTCTGCGATTACGGCCCTTTAAAATTGTTTGGGCGGTGAAGAAGGGGCTAATTTGCTTTTCTCCGAAAAAACCAACGGTGGAACTGACTTATGTGGCCTCCTTAACGAGAATCCGAAACGTTAGGTTACTAAAGCACTTGCTCCACTGATTGTGTCTCCTTCTCCGCGACTACTTCCTGGAACTCACCTCGTCGCTTCTGACAACCTAGTTGTTTGGCTCTCGTATTCACAAAAGATCTTGACAGTGCAGACGAGGTATACTGCCTACCCCATCTCGGTCGAAGTGATCATGTAGTACTTTTATGGGAGTATGTTCCACATTCTCCACCATATCCAATAAACGAAATGATGTCAAAAAAATGACAGGGAGATAGTCTCATTATTCAATACGAATTTTACTGAGTTTTGTTTTGCCACCTACGATATTGTCATTTACCCGTTTTTTTAATTTTGCATTCTGTTATTGAGATAAAATTGCTTAGTATCAGTTGTGCTGTCTGGTCTACCAACATTGGCAGCTTTAAGTAATTGTTTCATCATGCATTGCCTCATCCTTATATCCTCGAAGTTTCGGCAACTATCATTATTATGGATTTGGATTAAAGTCTTGTTTTGTTTTTTCGACATGAAACCTCACGCAGCACTTCGTCGAAATCTGAAGGAAATTAAACTCCATTTGAAACCCACTGTCAATATAAAAAGTAGGCCTCGGAGCGCTCGATAATGTTAACAATTTTATGTCTCGCTACGGATCAATTTTTTCTGTTCTTGGTGCCCTTATTCAAGGAAAGTTGTCAACACTAACGTCTCAGCAGTGTGAGAAGCTCATGCCTCTCATTAACCCGGTCGCTACTGAGACTGAAGACAGGCACAAACGAAGTTTCAATTTTATTTTGAAAAACGTTCCTAAAAGCAGACAGCCAATCAATGTCGGTTTGCACTTTCTTTATTCTTGCAGCTCCAACTTTAGGGTCGCTGAAGCTAAAAGACTTTCATCCAGGAGCAGAAATCCACCAATTCTTGTCAAACTATTTGCGTAGATAGAAGTTGATTTTATTTTCTCCCATTTGGAGCGTTCAGCTGAATATCTTAGGGTAAATAAAATTTTTATTAATGGGGATAAAATTACACTACAACGAAGAGTTTCTCCCCCATTAAAAAACGTAAAGCCACCCCAGGATTTACTCATCTGCCGTCTGCCTATGAAGCAGGCTCTCCGTCGGGCGTCAACCAAATCCCTCCCCTATCTGCAGCGGCCCCAGTTCCATCTAGCTCTTCAATTGAGCACATTATCACAGAGGGAGTTGAAACCAGCCACTTTAAAACGCCTCCAAGAAGCAAGGATGGCTAAATTGCAGCTCCCAAACTTACAAGTGCGCTTGATCTTAACAATACTGATGAGCCAATCCTAGATGCACAACCGACCACCAACAGTCAGATTGATGATTAGTCAATAAACCTGGGTCGAATCCATCCCGTTCCCGCGCTTGGCCACTCCGCTCTGACCTAGAGGTTAGGTCAAATAACCCAGATGATAGTTCCGTGAGATCTTTACCTGTTCCTATCCCGAATTCCTAATTTAACGTAAACATCCCAGTTGTGAAGCCCACTTGCACACCAGCTTGCAAAATGTAAGTATGTAGCGTTGATGATAATTTTTCAAATACCATTACTAGCCTGACACCCCAAATAATAAAGTCTTTTCCTAATTTAAGGTGTTTCTCGAAACTATTACGTCCGCTATCTACTATAAAATAGCCCTCATACAATGCTCAAAATTCACAAAATCCCCCTGCCAACATCTGGCCACACCTCAGTTTATACCGCGGGGATGTTGTTGAAAGACGCGGCGGTGGTTGACTTCTTCACATCAAAGTCTCACTTGCACATTCGCCTTATGACATCAACATTTCTTCCTCATCGGGAAATTTAAGTTTTGCTTCGGTAATTCTTCCGCAAAATCGGAAAGCCTTAGCCGTATGTGTATATAATCCTCCTCGTTATTCTGGAAATGAAAGCCAACTCCGTGAAGTCTTTAAAATAATCACAGAGGCTTCTTTCCATGTCAAGATCATCGTAGGAAATTTTAATTTGCCAGAAATTGACTGGCACATACATACTTCCTCTCCTAAATTCCAGAAGCTTCTAGACACCATTCACTTTTCACACTGGTCTCCATTAGTCCACTCTTCGACCAGAAACGATAGTGTATTAGATTTAAATAATGCTAATGACATCTTCCCTCTCTCTATGGATTTTCATCATGACGTTTTTGCAAGTGATCATGCATCAATTCATTGTCGCCTTCCAGTTGCCATTTTAACAAAACCAACAGTACAAAGTAGAATTTTTGACTTTGCTAATATTGACAAGGAATTAGTTAATAATTTTACAAGCACTCTTCCTTGGCGCAATATTTTTTTCAAATAATGCTCTAAATTTT